TATGCAACTCAAGAATTATACATACATTTATATTCTAAAACCGTGGTAGTACTGGTAGTACCGAACACGTGACACTAATTTTTCACTGATAACGACTCATGGTTCTACCAGACCCACAGAATATATATAATAAGTAATAACATTATTACAGTATTATATATCTGTGACCAGACCATCAATGTGGTTATTTTATAATGAATACTGATTTGAATATGTCTATGGATTTAACTATTTAAGCCATTTAAATTTTGAGGTTTATATTTTTGAAATTTACGGGCACATGCAAGTAGAATAATTGATAATCTGTGAACTGTGTACCATCACCGTGCTATCGAGCTAATATTAAATATTGTTAGTTGTTACCGTCAGGCGTCGACCGTTTGTTTATCTTTATCGTTGACGTAAAGTCACAAATAGATATTKTATTTTTGTCAGAGTCGTTGGTTACTGATTAGATCATTAATTAGTAATATAAATTCATTTGAAATTTGGATAGTACCTAAATAGTATTTGTGGTAAGCATAAAAATTGATGCCATTAGGCAGTAGTGCAGTTCTGGCAATATTTACCGCCTGAATTAAAGCTGGTTGTGTAATAGGTAACTAATGAGATTTATCACGTTCTTATTTATTTATTTTAGTGATGCAGCGACGAACATGACGGACATAATGATTTTTACATTTTTTCCGGAGTCCTGAATAACTGTTTTACATAATCGTTTTTCACTGTTGGTTGCCATAATCTTAATTTAATAAGAAAACTGGCTCATATACACGGTGCGTCAATTTAAACGTTGAAAAACCTTTTGTTGCCAATTTGCTATTCAGGTGAGTTACAATTTTCTACATAAAAATGTTATGACACGTAACTGCGGACTTCGGTAGTGTTATTGTTATATTACTAAGTATTATTAATTGATACAGCGACACWAATTTTTTTTTCGATGATGTCAATAACAAACAAGACTGATTTTGCGTGTTTTGCTTATTGCACGTTCTGATTAAATTTTTTTTTACCAAGATCTAAGTTAGTATTGTTAGTAAGTTACTGTTCACTAGTTCTAGTCACACTAGTTCTAGTTACGTTTTCTTCGGCTTTGATATTCTTGTTTGATATCAATACGATAGCCATGACATTTTCTATTCAACCATTTTATCAATATCGGTAATTTTTACCCCTGATATTTTTAGAATTTTGATATTAACAGTTGACACTAAACTTGGTGGATGACGATTATGGTTTTTAGCATGTCATTGTTACTAGTTAGTGGTCGTTCTAATAGTTACTTTGTAAAGCCGGTCACTTATGACCTGCAACATCATAATCGCCAATGCTTTCATGTAAGTAAGCGATGCATGATAAAATTGTCTATTTGGTACGGAAATGATGACAATTCTTAGGCAATGATATCATTTATTTCCGCTATAAGCAATTGTCAACACTTCCGGTAATACTTATATGTATATATTGTTTAACTGAATGTGTTTAAATAAAAATAATTTTTATAACATCATTTTACTAATTTTTTTAGAGCGTATGTACTATATTTATAATTATGCACAAAAACCCTAAAATATTTTAAAAATAAATATGGCAAGTATGTAGGTATTTTAAATGTACTTATTTTAATATTAAATATTTGTTTTAAAACATACTATTAAGTATAAAATTATATTTTTTTCATATGATTTCATTGTAAAATTGTACTCTACCTATATTTTAGATATTGTTTCCTCTACAATCTAAACATTTTTATTATTTTTTTTGTTAATGTAGAAATAATAATTACTATGTCCATGTGGCAACAATTTGCTGAAGGAAATATCGAAAAAAAAGTTCTGCCAGGATCTGATTTGTATAATGTTTGTCCAAGACATGAATATAATTCAAAACTACCACAGTCTAGTCATAGTTATGATGACTATGATGAGTATGGTAGATGTTATGTAAATATTGGTTTGAACGAATATGAAAAGGAAAATGAAGAGTATAATGAAGTACTGTAATCTTTTATTTCATTTTTTATTATTATATAGACTTATTTAGATAAATTCTGAACTATTTTTAATTTTTTATCTTATTATGTGTACCTATATGTTTTAGGAATTTAATTTATTTAAATTTAAAGTGTTTAATTTTATTATTTTTTAGCTATCGAAGAAAGCTTTACATGATTCAAATATGAGTTCTGTTGATAGTATTTCTAATGTTAATTCAGTGGCAGATCTAAAAGATTTGGATATAGATGAAATTAAGCTTTTTGAACATTATAAATTCAAAGATCCATCAAATAAATCAAACGATTTAGAAATTGCTGCATTTAAAGATAAGGTAATATAATTATGAATTTTGAATTTTTATGTCAAATATAAATAATTAAATAAATCTAATTTAATGTTAACAATTTAATTATTAGCTCATAACTACATACTTCATTTCTTAAATAAGTTTTATGTAACAACATAAATTATTTTAACCGTAAAAAAGTAGTTATGTATATATTTTTTATTAGTAGGGAACGGATTTTAATTTAAATAAATATTTTTATGTAGTAAGAGCATCGGAAATTTTTCRATATAATGTGTACACGTTTCATTTAATTTTAAGTAATCTAATGCTAATTTTATTTCAAATATTTTTAAATATCTTAGAATAATTAAATTTTTTATAAATAAATACATGAATTATGTAATATTGTAGAATTTTCATGCATATTTTAACTATTTTACAAATAAATATATGAATTCTGTATTTAAATGTATTATTGAAGAATTTCTGTTTTTATTTTAGTATTTTACGATACAATATGCGATTCGATTAGGTCTCTGCACTATACGCCTTTGACATCAAACGACAACGATTCGATATCTTATCTAAGTAGTAGGTAGGTAGTAATTTCAGTATACAAGTATATGCGTTCACTTTTCGATCAGTATTCGTAGGAGCGTTATTCGATCACATTATTTTCACGTCCGTTGATGTGGAGAGGTCATTCAATTGTTACAAAGCAATGTTACTAAGACCTAATTGCCGCCACTTAACATTTGAAAATTTCAAGTTATATGTCGTTTCTAACTGTTTCCCGTGATGATTCAGAATAAATTGTTAATTTTTTTAAATTTTTTAATAATTTTATCTTATTTTCAATTTAAATATTATACTAACCTACCTCAATTAATCATCAACAACKCCCCCATCCCTGTCCAAACTGAAATAAAGTACTTAGGCATAACACTCGATAAAAGACTTACCTGGGGCCCCCACCTAAAAGAAAAAAGAAAATCAGCGAACAATAGACTTCACCTCCTCCAACCACTCCTCAACTCCAAAATACCACTCCAAAACAAACTTATTATATATAAGTCAATCATAAGACCAGTTTGGTCTTATGGAATAGCAATCTGGGGCCCAGCCAAGCCCTCGAACATCAAGTCAATTCAGGCTTTTCAATCAATAGCGCTAAGGTTTGTAACCAAAGCCCCCGGGTACATTT